TTGAAATTGGGTCATTTTTCCTGCATTTGTTTTGTTTGGGCACAGCATTGGTACTGGCTTTGGAATGGATGTGCAGATTAATCCTCTGATCTTTTGAATTTTCTCTGAGAAGAAACTGGAGAACTTGTTGCAGGCGGCATTAGATTGAAGTTCAGGTGGCAACATCATAGGAGGGTTTGTGAGCCTGTCAACAGTAGCAAATAGAGCCTGCAGCATGCACATGCAATTGTTCTTTTTGAGTTTGCATCCTGTTTACAAAACATCTCTGATCTCAATTTTCCACCAGAGCTGGGAGAAAGAATGGCTAATGGAGGGATGTGATCCATGTGATTAGTCAAAACTGTAGTAGGTGTTTGCTGACTCTTCCTTTAAGAATTTAGGAACCAGGCCGCCTAATGTTTCTGACTTTTCTGACCTTTTTTTTTTTTTTTTTACATCTTGTTCACCGAAACAAGAGTAATATAATTTAAATTACTTTTTGAAATCAACCTCATTACTTTTAAGCATTTATCAGCTAGTTTTAATGAAACTATAACTTTTGTGAAACTAAAACTAGCTCTTAAACTCAATTTCTGATTTAATTATCTTATTTTTTATTTAAAATTTCTAACCAGTTGATAAATAAATAAATAAAAAATTATTGCTGTGATTTATCATGAACAATCACTTTGCTTAACTTCATCAGTTTAAAAAAAAGTTGAAGAAAATATTTTATTGTCACAAACCAAACATGTCTTAAGATGATCAGTTCTCCAACTTTTCATATTCAGGAAGGCTTAAAAGATTTTTTGTTTCAAACGTTAATTAAGAAATGTTAACTACAGGCTAGATCCTTGCAGTATGTACATACTAGCTTGGTTTAACCCATCTTCCATGAGACTGTCTTTTAAAGCAGCTGAGCACAACACTCTGACTCTCCTGACTCATCTTTTCACATTGCTGACCACAGTACAAGCAGGTTTAACACACTACTACGCATTACTAGATAACCCTCCGTGGAAGAGAGGCTTTTAGGTCAAAATAAATAATGCCATTGATCGCTGTTACATAATGTCAGCAAGGTAAACTTTTTAGATTATAACTAGTACTGCCATTTCACTGAGAAATATTGACTCATATTTTTCTCTCACATGATTTGCTGCTTCTTTCTGAACCTTTGTGCCGACTGAATTGGGCAAGAAGACTTTCATTCACTCTGTTGCCTCTTCATGGAACTTGTTACAAGAAACTTTCAGATTGACTGAACTCATCTTGTTTAGTGCTTTTAAATCAGTTCTTGAAGCAGATTCTATGACATGTACCTGTTTTTGATCGCTTGACTCATGATCTTACTTTTTGTTGCTCCATTTCTTGATTCTCTTTTGTATTTAGCCTCACCTGTGCTCCCTGCTGGTCATGAGATCCTCTTTTGTTTGGCTGCTTTGGCTGTTCAGATTAGGTTTGCCTAGTGACTTTTGAACCTCTTTTCACTTCATCCTGGGTCTTATTGTGTCACCTCCTCATCATTCTCCTACACATCATGACATTGACATTTTCTTTTAACTGTTCATTTTTCTGTGTTGTATTTGTTTCTGCCTCTTGGCCAGGACTCCTTTGAAAAGACATTTTTTAATGTCAGTGGGGGTTTTTTATCCTTGTAATATAAATGTCAAACTTTAAAAAAAAATGTTTATCTGTAATGCAAAATCTACAATCCTTAAGCTGAACTGGATAACTCTGCCATGAAAATACATTCCTAGTCAGTTGCATTCAAAGAAATAACTTGTTCAATTTAATTTAATACACAGTTATGTCCAAAATTTTCACAAAACTGGCTTAAGTATATAAAAGGACCTTTACTGTATTTAGTAAAACTTAGCAAAAATACTTTGCAGTTCAACAATTCACTAAGTTCAAAACTTAGAAATGCCTTGTTACTGAAAATGAGTACCACCTTATTCCTGGGAGGCTTACTAAGGAAACAATTATGGGTCTTACTTACAACTACAGGAAGTAGCAGTATTTCATTGTAATTTATACGGTTTTTTGCAAATCTATATTCATGGTAGAAGTTAGTTCTCTCTTTTCGGCTATAATACAATATTTAGTAAAACTTGTTTATGGACACACCGTCTGCTATCAGAGAGCTCAACACAGAGGATCGTATTTATGAGTTTAATCACAGGGAGCGACAGGAAAACAGTGTTAAGTTTTGTAACATGAGTTAGCAGCTCTGCTAGCAGCTAGTTTCTCTGAAGAATGGACAGTAATAAAGAAGATAAAAGTAGAGAAGATGGTCAGAGTTTTGAGCTGCCGTTTTGCGCCAACAGTGTAAAACACCAGAACTACATAATATTAGCTTGGTGTGATGAGAATTTTATTTTTCGTTTTAATTTAAAAAATAATAAATTTCATGATTTGATTCTTTATCATTATGTTTGGGCCAGCAATATTTTTTTTATAATACAAAATAAAATATCTAGATTTATTTAGTCCATGACAACCAGAATCTTGAGGTTCTCTGTTGCGAGTGTTGCAGCAAATCAGCAGAGAAATGACGGTAGCTGCTGCGCTCCAGACCATAACACGGAGAATCTCCCCACTGGACTAGAACCGAACCGAATCACACATTAACCTCTTATAGAGAGCAACTTGCCACTGGAAAGTGTCTGCCCTTGCGGAACTCGGGTAACTGTTGTGCTGTTCGTGACTGTTCTCTAATAATCAGACCAAGTTTAGTTTGTGGCTACAGCAAGTGTGTTTTGAACGTGTTCCCAAAACAAAAGCAGTAGTTTTCATCGCCTACCGATGGATAAGGAAACAAAAAGAATTTGGCTAAAAATTCTAAACTTGAAGAGAGAACCCAAAATGCTTTATGTGTGCTCATTTCATTGTGTGGACAAAAAGCCAACGGAAGAAACCCACATCTGCTTCCAAAACAACTGAGTCAGCAAAGTAGCTATGCTAGTGCGGGTTATTTCTTCAAGTCGCCATCCCTCCCCGCAATAGTTGTAGCATGGGCGTAGGTTTGGGTAGGGACGGTAGGGACATGTCCCGACCAATATTCACGGGATATGAAAAAGTCCCGACCAATTTTTGCCATATTGGCTCAAAGAACGTGGATCTACGATCTTTGATTAGCAGCAACAGGCGGTGCGCGGAACGGAAGCTTCTTAGTTTGACATTTATTATGAGCCTCCGAGACCGTGTCGGAACGGTGCTGTCGGGGGGGGGAGTCAGTTGAATCGTCAGACGTTCTTTGATTAGCTGCAAAAGGCGGCGGCTAGCTGGGCACACGCGTC